GGGCAAGAATATCGTTGGTGTAGTCATTTTCTACATCATTAGGGGTTACAATGTCATCAATCCCTGATTTGTAGGCAGAGAGACCACCTGAAATAGAACACAAAAGCATTAGAACTAAATGAGGAATTTCAGCCAGAAGTAGGACAGGAAAATGCTATGATGCCAGATCACTGGTTAAAGTTTTCCCAAAAAAGGGACTCCTTTCTTTTTCTCCCCTTCTAAAAATGCGGGATGACCTTCAGGCCACTTGGAAAACGTTGGCTTGTCCTCTTGAATAGTCCAGTTCTGATCAGAAATAGCCTCTCTGCCCCCAGTTCATCTCCACCGTGATCATCTTTCAAAGTGTTTGTTCTTATCCTACAGGTGTTTGCAATTGCTGAGAGTGGTTTTTGCACCAAGGGATCTAGATTGAACATCAGCAAGCCTTATGCTTTAAAAACATTTGCTACGTCTGTGCTTGTCCTGGACTATATAGGAAAATAACGATCAAACCTTGTCCCTTTAGGAGCTTTTCATTTTGGTGACAGTAGTCCACGCATGAACTTTTGTCTCCTGAGTCTCAGAATGTCAGAGTTGAAAGAGATCTCAGGGGACAATTAATCCAATCTATAGGTGAATAAGAATCTCTACTATAATATACCTTATTAAGTGGTCATTCAGTCTTTTTGCTTGAAGACTTCCAGCGAGGATTAACACGCTCCCTCTGGAGGCCAATTCCACTTTTGGTCAACTCTAATTGTTAATAGTTAGTATTTATATAGCACTTTAGGGTTTACAAAGCACTTTACAAATATTATCTCATTTGAGATAGTTATTATTCTCTCCATTTTGTGGATGAGGAAACTGAGGCAGACAGAGTTTGAGTGACTTTCTCAGGGTCCTATCATAAGTGTCTGAATCTGGATTTGAACTCAGGCCTTACTGACTCCAGATCCACCATTCTATCCACTTCACCACCCTAGCTGCCTTTAGGGAGTTTTCCTCTGATATCAAGCCTAAATTTGTCTCTCTGCAGTTTCTACCCATTGATCCTAACTGGAGCCAAAGTCTTCTCTTCAACTGAATAAATACCTCCAGTTCCTTTAAACCATCCTTGTATAAAATGGTTTCAAGGACCTTCAGCATCCTGGTTGGCCTCCTCTCTATACACTCCAGTTTGTTAATGTCCTTCCTAAAATATGGAGCTCAGAAGAAAATACCTTAAGTGAGGCCATACTGCCACTTATCACTATTTTATGCTAGAGTTTTAGAATCTCTAAAATCATAGTTGAGAAATCAAATGGACCTCACATGAAAGTGTTTTGTCCTGAAATAGGAATTTCAGGGGGAAAGAAGTCTCAGTGCATTTTCAACTTTTTCAGAGTCGAGGCTTTCACAAATCTCATCATCTCATCATCAAATCAAGCTTTGACTGATACCACCTCCCTCAGCCTCCTCTCCTATCTGATTGGAGGGCTGGGGGGCCATGTACCAAACTCCTCCTAATAGCTTTCTTTATAGAGGGCAGAAACTCCTACTTTCCCCATTTTCTTGCCTTCTTTTGTGTGTCTCCTCCCATTAGATTATAAGCTCCTTGAGGGCAGGGACTGTATTTTTATTAATTGTATCCCTAGCACTTAGCACAGTGCCTCTCACGTGATAGGTACTTAATAAATGATTATTGGATATTGGCTTTTTAAGTTTACAGCTAGAAAGGCACTTAGAGGCCATTTAGTCCAAACCCCTAAATTTATAGAGGAAACAGGCCTAGAGACATTAAATGACTTGCCCAAGGTCACTCAGGGACTAAGTAGCAAAGGTGGGATTTAAACCCAAGCCAAAGACTCCAAATCCAAGCCCCAACCCCCACCCCCAATCCCAAGACATGCTTTCTCACCACCTCGTTTCCATCATGTTGGATGGGGCACATGGTTTGGCTAGTGAGACACTAAACCACAGAATTCCTTAAAAGTCTACAGTTTGATAGATAATTAAATTGAACAAGCCTTGAGTACCCAAATCCTTATTTACCAATGTCATTTCAATTAAATAGCTTCAGTGTTGCCAATCTTTCTGAAGCAAGTCAATGATAAACGTTCAGGTCAGAAGTAATTTTATTCATTACTCATTTCAACAAATAGACCTGACTTACCTTTCAGGTGTTGACTCATGGTCCAGGTTGGGAATTTTCTCTGGATTGCCTTAATTTTGTCAGTTAGGATCTTTACAGCCTGTGTAAGGTGCTCTTGACTATCCCAGGCTCCAGTGGGGTGATAAATGTGTTTATCAAGCTAAAAAAATGAAATAACAAGGTGAGAATCCCTGGGAGAAAATATAGTTTTTTCTGTTGTTCTCGCCCTTCCAAATTAATTTTTTATTTCTCAGATTTTCAGCTTTCTTCCTTATTTACCCACAAAGGGTTATTTCTCAAGTTGTTTGGTTTTTTTTTTCTTTAGTGAGAAGAAAGGTAATATGTTTAAAATGAGTACTGAATTTGGAGGCAGAATTGGGACATGTCCCAGCTCCATCACTTACTAGCTGTCACCATGGGTAATTCATTTAATCTCTCTGAGCTTTAGTTTCCTTATCTTTAAAATGGGAATAAATATTTATACCACCTATTTCAGATCAAGTGGAATAATATACAAATCACTTTATAAACTATAAAGCATTATATAAATGGAAGGCATGAATTAAAAAAAATTGGGGGGGAAATGAGTACTGAACAGCTCCAGTGAGAAAAAAATAATAATAAGATAACATTATTCAAAAGCAAACTGACTACTCAACGGCCAGGTCTTCACAGTAAAAACAAGATATTGCTTTTAAACAGTTACTCTAAAAATAATAGCTTATACTTGTGATAGCTTCTCTAGAGAATAGGACCAACATTCATACTTCTATAATGAGGTGCTTTCCTCACAATAACCGTAGCTACCGAGAAAACTGAGGCTCAGAGAAGGTAAGCTAGCTCAAGTTCACATAGCTAGTTAGGGTAAAATGTCAATTATCCAGTTATGTATAGTCAAAGCCAATGTCTAACTGTGGAGTCCTTTATTGCATAGAGTTAAGGCAATTATTTAGATAATTCAAACCCCTTACCTTCTTCCACAACAGTTTATTGAATTGGTTAGGAGTGAGGAATATTACTTACTTAGCCAGTATTTTGGTCCAAAGTGATAAAAATTTACTTTGTTTTTCAGTTATGCTATGGAGAACACTCTCTATTAATATAATTATTTTCTTAAAATTAGAGAGGCAGGGCAGCTTGGTGGCACAGTGGACAGAGCACTGGACCTGGAGTCAGGAGGGCCTGAATCAAATCTGGTCTCAGACCAGAAATTTGATACTTACTAGCTGTGTGACCCTGGGCAAGTCACTTAACCCCAATTGCCTTGCCAAAAAAAAATTAAATTAATAAGAAAAATCTGCATTTAGAGGTTCTTTCATGAGGCATAGCATGTGGAGAACCTGCAAGTCACAAAGAGCTGAGTTCTAGCCCAGCTTCTGACACATTCTGGGCTGGGTCACCCTAGCTAGGCCTGTCACTTTTCAGTGCCCCAGACAATTCTCCAAGGCTGTAAGTTGCAGAGCAGGAGCCAATCGACATTGGTAGAGGGCATTTCCTTAGTAGAAGTTCCCTCTACCAGTGAGATCCTAGGGCTGATCCAAAGAATAACTATGCTGCAATTCACTTGTTCCTCATTCATCCAGCTACTTCATTCTTATGAGATGTCTTTTAGAGTCACCGATGAAAGACAGGCCCTAAAGAAAGTAGCGAAGATGTTTAGCAGAAACCATTCAACATTTTAGTAAATGTCCCATTAGATGAGGAAACTGAAGGCCAGAGATGAAGTGACTTGTCCAAAGTCACACAGGTAGCAAACTGAAGTGCTGAGATTTGAACTGAGGTCTTCTGAATCCAAATCCAGCCCTTTCTCCTCTGTACCACTTTCCCTCCTGTTACAGAGCTGTTCAAGGATTTCTGGTTTTGCTGACATTTTGGTGGAAAGGAGAATATCATTGCTGAACCTCAGGTGTTGCTTCTTGATAGTTACCTGCATCAGACCAAATCTAAGTCCCTGATGGTCCCAGCCATCTCGGAGCACAGACCCAGCATGGGTCTCTCTGGAGATAATTCCAGCAATCAAAGCAGGATCCACACATTGTTTCTGTCCAACATCTTTGATTATCGTTTGATATTTCTTCATAGCCACCAAATCCATCTCAGCAAACATTTCTGAGCCACGGATCCCTACAGTAGAAATAGAAGTAGCTGTACTTTCTCTACTTCCTCAATTAGTTTTCTTTATTCTTAGAAGTGACTGGGAATTTTTAAAAAAAAATCTGTAAGACTAGGGGTCATTTGAATTAATTAACCTACCCCATTTAAAGCACCTAACAAGATGCTCTAGCCTTGATACATTTATCTAGAAAAAACACCTCTATTTAATCAATCAATCACAGATTATTGACTTGATATGAAAAGTCCTTAATCAGTCTGGAAGGTGTGAAAGCCATTGGATGAAATGAAATAATGCTTCACAGGAAGTGTATTGGAATTGGTTGAGGGGACTTAGACATACGCTGTGAGGCTTGGACAAATGTATTTCTGTATTGGACAACTTCTTGTTAGAAGCAGTTCCATCCAAGCTCCTGAGGGAATTATTTGAAAGTTGAGGGGAAGGAGAGAACTTCTGTCTCCTTTCCCCAGAGGGTGATCTTGTGAATTCAAAAGGTAGAAAGATTTTTGGATGTATCCATGGGTATTCTAGCAATGTCTCTGGAGCAGCAGTGACCAACATCAGCATCTGCTGAGGACAATTTAGATAACATTGAATAAAGGGACACTTTTAGGACTCTACAGGGAACCCAGCAGAAAGCTGTACCATACCTAAGTAGAACTTCATGAGGACTTTATGAATGGGAGAAAAGGACTTACCAGAATCAGAAGCTGTGAGTTACCTCTTTACCACGTGTTCTTTCTAAGCTTAAGTCCACATCTCCCAGGACTCTGTGTGGACTTGTAGAAGAGTGTATCTCTTGTCTGGGGAGTTATTTGTGCCAACTCTTCTTACTAAGCTACTTTGGAAAATAATCTTTTCTAAAAGCTAATTAATTTTGCTGATTAATTATTATCAACTTGTAGTCAATGGGAGATGTACACTAGTGGGGACTCATGACTAATGGAATTAGAGAACCTATCCCTGATTATGCAGGATTACCCCTGAAACCGTGAGGGTAGCTCCCAGGGACCCAGCCTGCTCCTGTGAACATAGCTTGTGCTACCCATCTTTTAAGAAAGTATGGGGGCAGCTAGGTGGAGTAATGGATAGAGCTCCAGCCTTGGAGTTAGGAGAACCAGAGTTCAAATGTGACCTCAGATACTTGACACTTACTAGCTGTGTGAACCTGGGCAAGTCACTTAACCCCAATTGCCTTACCAAAAATCATTAAAAAAAAAAAAAAGTAAGACAGCCATAGTCAATTGAACAGTGCTTGTCACTAAGGAAGCCAAAAATCCTGTAGAGCACACCTTCTACCCTAAGCCACATTCAGAACCATAGAATAGTAAAGCAGATTGGGACCTTAGAGATCAGCTGGTTTGTCCCTCTGACTTTACAGAGAGATTTATGGGCTAGTTCAAGGTCAAACAGTAGCCTCAGAAAACCCATATTTCCTGACTCTAAATTCAACATCCTTCTAACTATACGACACTGACTTCCAACTTCCAGGAAGCTTTCCTTAGAAAGCTAATTTTTAACTCATCCTTCCTCCTGCCCCACCTCCCTCACAAAGAGAAAAATATCCAAATTTCAGAATTGATGTTTCAGAGGCAAAGGAAGTTTTAATTAAATTTAGCTAGCATAGTGGAATGAGTACTGGCCCAGAATACAGAAGATCTGGGGCCTGGTGCCAATTTATCACTAAATGGTTAAGGCAAGTCATTTTACTTTGCTGGGCCTCAGTTTCCTCCTTGGTAAAATGAGTGGCTTGGTCTCTCTGGTTCCTTCCAGATCTGGATTCTATGGCTTTATGATCTTAGTGGCAGTAAGATAGGGAAAGAAAGGTTGGAGAAGGAAACAACAACGGAAAAGATATACAAAAATAAAAGCAACTTCTTTAAGTGAGAGTCCTAGGAGGGTATAAAGGGAAGGAGGAAATGTTAAATGTGCACTTACCACAGTTGATCAATCTGTCTATATCACAGGAGGCTCCAGGAGCGTCCATACTCATGATATCACCATAGCAACCATGGTACAGACGAGGCTGGAAGTGGGGATCCATGGGGGGAGGATATGGATAAGTGCCCTCAGAAGTAACTGAAAAGCATAAGGCGATTTTAGACCAAGACTGTGAGAAAACATGACGTGGGTTGCCATTTTGAATATTATTAAACCAGTAGACTATGAATAGCATTGGACCTTTTCTTTACCTTGTTGGATATTCATTCTTTCAATAATTCAAATATTTGTTGAGCACCTATACCATACACACTAGGTATAGTAGAGGGAGATACAAATATGGATGACAAGCCCCTGGCCCTCAAGGTGAGTGCAGTCTAATGTTAAGGGAATGTCAAATGGTCTAGCTTATATGATATTTAGGGCAATTTAGGGGAGGTAAGGAAGCATTCTGAGATAAAACTGAAAAGGTAGAAAGATTTGAGTCAGTCTTTCAAGGCCCTCTATCCAATAAGGAGTATAAACTTAAATTGTTAGGCAGTTAGTACAGTAGAGCATTGGGGCAGGAGTCAGGAAGATCCGAGTTCAAATTCTGCCTCTGATACTTGCTAACTGTGTGACCTTGGACAAGTCACTTCACCTCTTCCTCAGTTTTCTCTTGTGTAAAATGAGGGTAATAGGAGTAACTACCTCATGAGATTATTGTGAGCATCAAATGAGATAGTATTTATAAAGCGCTTAGCATAGTACCTGGCACATAATTGGCTTATTGCCCCACTACCTAGTAGGCAATAAGGAACCACTGAAAGTCTTTGAGCTGGGGAAGTGATGCCTTTGGAACTGTTCATTAAAAAGATTAATCAGGAAGCAATGTGTTGGAGAATGAAAAGACTTAGAAAAAGCAGAATGTAATCCCTCCATGGCATCCCTGAAGCTATCATCCAAACTTCCAAAAGGAGAACTTTAGCTTATTATTTGAGAATAATCCTTTACTCTAAAATATGTAAGTGATGCTTAGCACATCTTGAATTTATTAATTCAAGAAAGTCTTGCTGCTTTATTTCAGATCTTTAAACGTTAAGGGCAACGCAGATTCAAGGTATTATTATTTACTTATTTTGGGGGGCAGATCAAAGCATACTATTTTCACCTTTTTGTGCGTTTTTTTTTTCCTTTTGTTGTGTTTCTTCTTTCACAAAATGTCTAATATGGAAATGTTTTACATTATTATATACATCAAACTGCTTTACCGTCTTAGGGAGGCAGAAAATTTGAAACTCAAAATTTTGCAAAAAAAAAAAATGCATGTTAAATTGTCTTTACATGTAATTGGGAAAAAAAATAAAATACTATTCAAAATTTTTAAAAATGTGCCTCATTTGCATCTCTAGTCAATGACCCCAGTAATAAGGAGAAATGGTTCACCATCATTAACTGAAAGGCTTTCCACATGTACTATATGTCCATGGATCTCAAGGTATTATTATTAATCCTCATGATGAATAATTATATGTAACAGTCTATTTGTTCCAAAGGACCTCTCTTATACCCAACCTATAATCTTCTGTCCCGTAGAGTGAGTTATAACCAGGGCTTGAGGAAGAGCCGAGACCAAATGTTTGTGCACCCTAGGCAAGAATTGGAAATTGCACACCCTGTGTGTGATGGAGACCCAAAGCTTTGAGCCTTCCCTGTACTATCTGTATCTTGATATATCATGCAACAAAACCAATGGGCCAAGGAGGGTGAGGTTTTCTGGCATCAAATATGTGTACATGGTAACACACTTCTACTTTAATATTTTCATGAAAAAATAGAAAAAAATTATACTTTTGAAGTTACTATTGCGCAATGTGGTTTTTGGGGGCAATAATAAATAGTGTGTAATACACATACTCACACAAACATGTATACACACACACACACACACACACACACACACACACACAACTCACCAATGAGGACAGCAAGGCCCAAAAAAATGACAGGAACTAACATGCTGATAGATCTTATCCTGCAGGACCTAGAATGATTTTTGAAATAAAGTTGTTTAAAAAGAAAAAATAAGGACAGTTAGGTGGCGCAGTGGATAGAGCACCTGCCCTGAAGTCAGGAGGACCTGAGTTCAAATCCAGCCTCAGACCAAACACTTGACACTAGCTGTGTGACCCTGGGCAAGTCACTTAACCCCAATTGCCTAAAAAGGAAAAAAAAATAAAGAAAAACTAAAAACTTCAGTAAAGAAAATGTATTTTGAGCCAATGAAAAAGTCAACATTTCAATTCATTTCAATGCCTTGCCTAAATCTGTACTCCAAAAAATTCCCAAGAGCAATCATGGGACATGATCTGACAGTTGTACAGAACCATAGAGTTTTGAGGCGTAGAGATCTAACTCCCCTCATTCTCTTCAATGTGTGATTCCAGACAGATCTGCAGAAACCAGAGCCTAGAGAAATGAACCAATTTGCTATGGGTTTGTTGTTAAGTATTTTTTTCAGTCGTGTCCTACTCTCTGTGACCCCATTTGGGCTTTTCTTGGCAGATATGCTGAAGTAGTTTGCAATTTCGTCTCCAGCTCATTTTACAGATGAGGAACTGAGGCACCAGGGTTAAGTGACTTGCCCAGGTTCACACAGCCACTAAGTGTTTGAGGCCAGATTTGAACTCAGGAGATCTTCTTGATTCTAAGCCCAGTGCTTTATCCATTCCTCCACCTAGCAGCCCTTACTATAGGTCACACAGAGAGTTAGTGGAAAAGCCAAGATTAGAATCCAAGTCTTTTGCCTTTCTAGTCCAGTGTTTTTTCCTACGCCATTCTAGTCCCTTTCCTCAGTGCAAACTCCAAACTTGTTTTAGTTCTATTTTATTCATTTTACATCCCCACATGTATGCACACACAAAGTAAGTAGGCAGGTATGTAAACACAATGCTCTCTTCTCTCCTTTTATATGACAATTCAATTTAACAAGTATTTTTTAAGCATTGCCTAGGTGCAAGAAGAGGAAATGTGGTATATAGTCTATAGAGATGGGCTTGGAGTCAGGAAAACCTGAGTTCAAGTTTTATCTCTGACACATACTGACCAGGCTGGGTGGCCCTGGACAAGTGATTTAACCTCTCAGCACCTCCAGACAACCCTCCAAGACTGTAAGTTTCATCAGTGGAGGGAATTTTCAACCCAGGGAATTTCCCATGCTGATGAAACCATAGATCTAGTTCCCGCCCCTCCAAGTCTCCCCACACACAAAAAATGCAAATCACCAATATTTAGGTATGAAAGAGGGAAAACTTCTAATGGCCCAGGATTGTACTGAATGCAGCCTTACCAAGCTAGGCTTAGTTCTTGCCACTCTTAACTTCCCTCATTATTTCTGCATATGACCCTGATTTAAATGATCAAAGACAGAAAAGATGCCTTCTCTCCCTTCCTCCCCACTAACCTGTTTTGGTCTTTATAGAGAGAACACTTCCCTTCTCTCTTTAAGAAGGTTTTCAAAACACACGTTCCACTTGCTCAGGATACTTCAGGGCTAGACAAAGCAGTTTTCTTCAGCCTTCCTCTGCCTCTACCTCTGTCCTACAACACAAATTTAGCAGCAGGATCCTCTGTGAGTCAACAATTGGTTTTCCATCATGTGCAAACCTGAGGGCCGCTCCTATGGAATATTCCAAAACTGACATAGGGGACTCACCTGTCTCCCGTCACCCTTGTCCTGAAACACCCATCTCCTGAAAGAGCTTTATATATAGCTTGAACCCTTATATATTAATTTGATGACCTCATTAGGCCTGATTATTATGATGCTTTGAACTTAGGCAGTCCCTTTAATAGGAGGATATGAAAGAGTTTTCTAAACTTCAATTAATTAATTACTGTAATAACCCCCTTCCAGGAGACACTGGAGGGCCTTATTTGGGAATTTCTAATATTGTGATCGGACATCCATCTCCTAAATCTGTGTCCAAGAAACTTATAATTAACAAATAAACAGGAAGTGCTTGGATTGGTAGTCTGGAAATGAGACAAGTGGAGTTCCATCTTCTTTGTTCTCCATTATTAAAAAGTCACATCATGGGCACACATGTACTTGTTCATTTGGGTCCCAGGCTACTTACTGACGATTTGTTCTGTGAGAGAATTTTATGAGTAAGCACTAGGAAGAGTAGGTTTCTGGTCTCTCAAACTACTGAAGGAAATGAGCTGGAGGGAGAAGGTTGTGATGAGTCTGGGAACAGAGACAAATTTCTTTCTTCAGTGTTGATAACTAGAATAATGGAAATTAAGCTGTGGGCAGCCCCAAATAGAAGAGACATGAGATCATAGATTTTGAGCAAGAAGAGACCTTATAAGACATCAAGTGCAATCACTTCATTTTACAGACAAGGATACTATGGGACAGAGGTTAAATGATTTGCCCAGGGTTAGACAGCTAATAAGTGTCAAGGATTGGGGTTAAAACCAGGTTTTCCTGACTTCCAAGTCCGATGTTCTATGTGCTAATTACACATTTCCGCTTACCATTGGCAGAAAAGAACAGCTGCCCAAAGGGAGGAAAAAAAATCAGACAAGGGGTATATTCATACCTACCATGGGGAAGGGAAGATTCTGTACCTCAACACAGTTCCCCCCAACATACCCACTTACCCACTGAGTGGAGAATAAGGAGCAAAAAGTGGGGTAGGAAGGACAAATGCACTGAGTCTAAAAAGGACCCCAGGCTGCCAAATAAAAGGAAATTACAGCTCCTGGAAGGCTCTAAACACATCAGACTGACTTAAGAATTGCTGTTCCCAGCATTGGCTTATGTTCTGGCCAGAAGCGAACGTAGATGTTGAGGATCTGCAACTCTAAGGCCCTCTAAGGCTCTGTCCTTCTCTTTCCTTTCCTCTCCTCCAGTCATCCAAATCTATTTCTTAACAGTGGGCGGGGATAATCCTAGCCAATAGGATGGTTCCCAAGGTGGTTACCAGGGAAGTGATTCATGTGATCATTTGGAGATCTAGGACTTTGGTGTATGTTAGCACATAAAGGACACACACAACTACTACCCCCTTCCACCATCACCACTGGCAAGGTGATTGTCACCATCAATAGCAGTCAAAGCTACTCATTAATCAGGGTTTTATAGCACTCAGAGCTGGAAGGGAGTTCATAGATCTAGGCCAGAGGTTCCCAAACTTATTTGACCTACTGCCCCCTTTAAAAAAAATTATTCAGTGGCCCTCTGGAACTCTGCTTTCTTTAACCCTTTAACTTTTTTTTAAAATTTGCATCATTTCAAAAAAAATATAAACTTTTTAAATGATGCATTTTAAATTTAATAAATTATTGTAAATTCATGGGGTTTTTCCTGTATTGAAATTTTGATGACATGTGACCATATAGTACCCTATTGTAAACAAGTCATTGCACGCTACCAATGCATGCTGGACTCTGACAATGCACAACATACTCACCTGCCAACACTTGCTTGTTAAGACCTGTTGGCAGACTTAACCACTGATCATTTATAACTTGCATTTTATGTATTTATTAGGAAAATAATGTAATCACTATGACTTTAACTCTTACACAACAGATGAAATGTACAAATGTTTTTCAAAATTTTATCTTTTCTTCCTTTATGCTTCCACTACCCCCTTATTTTTATTCAATGCCCCCCAATTACACCTGAGGTTACTATTGCTCACCTGAATTGTTCCAGCATCCCCCTAGGGGGTGGTATCACCCACTTTGGGAACCTATGATTCTAGGGCTAAGCCAACACCTTCATTTTGCAGATGAGGAAACTCTGGAAGCCCAGAAAAGGGAAATGATTTGCCTAAGGCCACACAGATAGTAAGTAGCAGAACCAGGGTTCAAATTCTCAACTCCAAAGCCTGTTTTCTTTTTAACTATAACACACTTTCTTCAAGTCCAATCACATAGGATATGACAAGCTGAGAACAGCCTGCAGATCAGTATGGGATCTATCACCAGTGGCTTGTTCATTTGACAATAGCACTATGTTCTGCATGTTCAAGTCCAGTTAAAAACAAATGGGGCCTCTTTTAAATTTAATTTAATTTAATTTTTATTTTTAACTTAATAATCACCAAATTAAATTTGCATTTCCATTGTAGAAGAGCAGAAAATTCTACTTGAAGCTATGAATCTCTATTACATATGGATTGGTTTTCTTCCTAAATATATAATAAATTCAAAATGTAACTTTAAAAACTATCTTGCTTATTTGTGATTCCTTCTGGCCTTCTGTTTTATTCTCCTTGGTGGGGGAGGGGTGTAGGTAGAGGCAAGAGACTAGCCCATCTGTCCTCTCCCTCCTATTATCTTCCTCTACAATGAAAAAAAAGAAAAGAAAAATAAATCCTTGTAACAAATGTACATAGTCAGGCAAAACAAATCCCCACATTTGGCCGTATCTAAAAATGTTATGTCTCATTCTGAACCTTGAGTCCATCACCTCTCTGTCATGAGACGGGAAGCATGGTTATTCATTAGGCTTCTGGAGTTGTGGTTCTTGCATTGATCACAGTTCTCATGTCTTTCAAAGTTGTTTTTCT